ACACATAGTGTACCAGACCCCCCCACCGCCTCATCATTTTTGGTTTTTTTTTTTTTTTTTTTTTTTCGCTTTTTCTGGATTTGGAGAATTTTTTTTTTTTTTTTCTTTTTTACATTTTTTTACACTTTTTGTTGGTGATAATCACGCGCAAATAAAACTCCGATAAAAACAATCCGTTCAACAATGAACTCGAGTGATAGAATTGAAGACTTGGCCTCGTTGTTCTTACCCGACTCACTACAACAGACACCACAAGCACCATCTACCCCTGTTACTTCGACAGCCATGTCAGAAAGACTTGTTGATGGCTCAAATTATCTAGTTCCAAAAGATAGCACTACCTCGTTGTCCAACTCGAGTTATCAAGACTTTCTCAACAACAACAACTTCATCAACAGACCAACGGGAGATGAACAGGAGCAGCATTTTTCACATGTCAACCATTATGCTCCGTATCTTCCCTACGATGCCAACGTCATGAATCATTATCAAAACTTTCACAACCCCGTGTACCCATATTTTCCTGAGGATATACAACCATATGGAGCATTCCAGCCAAATGAACCCTTTCCAAGGAGCCAACAATATGACATGGATATTCAACAGGAGGCAGAAATCAAAGAACCCATTAGCCCGAAGAGGAAACCAAAGGGTAGGAAACGCAATCTAAAGCATGCACTTGTGGAAATTGATTACAAACCAGCCAAGTTGAAAAGACTCTTGGACCTTACTCCTTCCGGCGCCACAAGCGCAAATGATTACAAAATTATTGACAACACTAACAAAGAGGTCTCGGTTGAGTTTAGTGGCTTCCTCAATGGGAAGTTCTTCACCAATGACATTGACAATAACAACTTCTTGTTTACCAAGAATGAACTTGAGAAAGAGCAGAGCAAGCCGGTGGAAGATCCCAAAATAGTGTCTTGTTATAGACGAAACTATATTCAAGTGTTGATGAATATGAGGCTTGCCGGGGTCACCAATGACTTCAAGTTGCTCAAGTTGCAAACAAGTGAATATGGATACTCAACAACAAGAGTAATCAAATACTTTAAGATTGAAATACAAGCAGTGACAAACATATCCAATTCCAAGAGCGTGCCGATTATAGTAAAGAATAGTGACAAGGAAGTGACGAAACCAGAACTCAAAGATGACGTTGTTCAGCCAACAAATATCGGCGCCGATCATGTCGTTGTCTTGAATGAGTCGGGAGTCAATAATGAATTGGATAAATACTTTGTTGTGAGGAAGCTACAGTTCAAAAATGCCACACCAAACAATGGAAATCTCACTTTTCAAAACTACTACCATTTGAAAGCGAAATTGAGTTGTGTTGTTGCTGATATGTACTATGATGACTATGTTGACGACATTGCCAATCTAGAAAACAGTGGGAACATTAACGAATTTCTTCTTTCTGAGTTGGTAAGCGAGCCCATCATTGTTCGTGGAAGGAACCCGAGCTTCTATGCAGAAAGGAAAGATGTTTTGATCAGGTGTCGTCCATGCTTGTCGAGAAAGAGTTACCAATTGGCTACGGAGCTGGCTGAAGACAAGATTGATGACGACAACGAGCACGTGAGTTTGGAGTCAACTGAAGACGACATAGATGACCAACTAGAAGAAGGGCATGTGTCACCCATTGACAAAATGAAGCAAACAAACTCTACCAGTTCTGAAATTGATTTGAATGAAATTGACGGATATAAATACTACCCAATATCGAGTCACTATTACCTCCCACCTGTGAATGTGGTGTATTTCCCCCATCGCGCTCATCATCCAATTGAAAAAGACGATTACGAATCAGCAGTGGAGCCTGTTGTGCAGAGGAAAAGCTCTAATGTGTATTTTAAATAGGAATTACCGACGTGCGTTATTATTATTTATTGTATTTCGATTTTTTTTTTTTTTTCTTTTTTTGTTTGTTGTTAGACAAAATTTTCTCTCGTAAAACTGCAGATACGGCGGGGGATACGGCTGATCCTAAAAGTAATACAGGCATGACTAAAAATGGATGCAACTAAAAAAAGGGTCGGGGTATATATATCCAGCTAAAACTCGATCTCCTCTTTTTCAAGTCTCTTCTACAAACATCATGAACTTCATTTTCTTCTACATTGTCTCCATTGTCGCAGCGCTTAACCTTATTAGGGATATCTCAAGTGGCTGCGAAACCCAAAAATGTATCGACGCAAGCAAAGCTTTATCCCTGGAGTGCCAAAACGAGCAAGACAACGTCTTAGCGTGTATTTGCAAAGTCAGCAATAGTGACTATTGGAACAAGCTTAGTGATTGTCTTAAAAGCTGTGACTCACTGGTGCAAGATGGTATTGATACATCTCCAAGTGGATTGAAACAGTTGTATTGTGATGCTGCTCTGGCTTATGCTTCCTTGTCTGCGGCTTTTGGAACAGAAACTTTTGCCTTGAGTAATGTTGAAGTTACGGGAACTGAAACCTCTGCTATTGCTGGTGTTGTCAGCACCTTGTCTCAACTTTCCGGGTCCCAACTGTCAATGAGTAGCCAAGCTGCCAAGTCAAGTGACAGCACCAAGTCCAGTGACAGCACTAAGTCAAGTGAGACGGCCCAGTCAAGTGAGACGGCCAAGTCAAGTGGCAGCACCAAGTCCAGTGAGAGTGCTAGCTCAAGTGAAACTACAAAGTCTACTTCAAACTTTGCCGCTAAAAAGGGATGTGGCACCCTTCTCTCCTTTTTAGTTTTAGTTTTTATGTGAGTATGTGTTTACGAAACGTGACTGATTTACGAAGTTGTACCCTCCTGTCTTGTTACAACCAGCCTGCATTCAAGGTTTGTCGAAAGTTCCTATTTAGGTATGTACACAAAAACAATTTAACGGTCCAGCTCTCCAGTATAAATACTCCAATATCCACTTGACAAAAAAAAAGAAACAAATTCAAGGTCAATTGTCCTTCAAACTACAATGAATAGCTTGCTATTGTTTGTTATTTCGGCTGTTGCGGCTGCTAGTAGTGATACGATTCCCATTTCATATGATACCAGTCAAGTGTTGACTTTGGTCCTGGGAAGTGCTGTTGAGGCAAGTGAATCACCAATTGGGCCTGCCGGCTCTTCAGCAGTGGACGCCATTCTCAGATCTTTATCGGCACTTTCGGCAGCTGATGCTTCAAGCTCTGTTGCGGCAGAAACGACGTCCGAGGAAGCCTCATCAACTGGATCAAGTGAATCAGCTGCATCAAGCTCATCCGGTGCTTCATCAAGCTCTGCTGCAGCATCAAGCTCGTCGGAGGCGGCATCTTCTACTCGCGCCTCATCGGAAAGCTCATCTGCTTCTGCCTCCAACGTTGGCGCAACATTGGGTTGTGGAACTGCTATATCTCTTTTACTTTTAGCATTGGTATAAAGTGTATAGCTTGAATGAATTTTACTTTTGTGCACAGCGAGAAACAACAGATTTTGTGTAGACAAATTCATTTCCCGATTTGGGCAAAAGGGAAAAAAAAAAAAAAAAATAACTTCACGTCGTAAGCACCACCCCGTGTGCCAAAAAAGAAATTGGCGCGACTAGAGAGCGAAGAAGGGAATACGTGGGGGGGAAGCAGGTTACAATACTTGTCGCAAAGTGAAGAATTATACGCCTATTGACACTTTGAGCTCCCCTGCTCGTCACAAAATGCTTTTCTTATTTTCAATACCCCGTTTCAGGATAAACACACCTCCTTAAACACACCTCCTTAAACACACCTCTTTAAACACACCTCTTTAAAAACACCTCCTTCAGTTTCATATCTGTTTTAGGTAAACAAGAGTTTTCTTTTGCACCTTATTTTTTTGTGGCAGGCAGGATGTTGCTATATATATATATAAAGTGATGGAGGATTATGATATAGCCTTGCAAGACTTGAATGGCCAAAGCCAATGTTGTTCATTCTACTCCTACTACGTTTCACACTTGCCTCAAATATCGCTGCTTATTGGGGTCAAAATGCTGGTGGTAGCCAACAAAGTTTAGGAGACTATTGCTCTCTGTCAAAGGCGGAAATCATCATCTTATCGTTTTTGAACAACTTCCCGACCCTTGGCTTGAATTTTGCAAACCAATGTTCTCAAACATACAGCGATGGTCTTTTGCATTGTTCCCAAATTGGCCAAGATATCAAATCATGTCAGAACCAAGGGAAAATCATTCTTCTTTCATTGGGTGGTGCTACCGGTAATTATGGTTTTTCAAGTGACTCGGAAGCGCAACAGTTTGCTGGCACATTGTGGAATAAGTTTGGAGGTGGTCAAGATAACGAGCGTCCGTTTGATGATGCTGTAGTTGATGGGTTCGACTTTGATATTGAAAACAAAGATCAGACTGGATACCCTGCCTTGGCAAAACAATTGCGGTCATATTTTTCATCTGCATCAAAAAAATATTACCTTTCAGCTGCTCCGCAATGTCCTTACCCTGATCAGTCTGTGGGAGACTTGATGTCTCAAGTTGATTTGGATTTTGCATTTATTCAATTCTACAACAACTATTGCTCCATTGATAAGCAGTTTAATTGGGATACTTGGAGTCAGTATGCAAGCGGGAAGAATATCAAATTGTACTTGGGTATTGCTGGATCCCCTTCGTCGGCGGGGTCCGGCTATGTGGATTTATCATCAGTGCAAAATACAATCGCAAGTATCAAGAGTGATGCCTCGTTTGGAGGTGTATCAGTTTGGGACATTTCTTCAGCACCAGAGCAATATATCGATGGTATTAGTGAAGCCTTGCAAGGATCATCCTCCGCCTCAGTTGCCAACAGCAATACACATTATGCGCAATCAACTAGTGCGTACTGGAGTGGATCCACTACCAGCGCCGCTGCTGTTGCCACTGCATATACGCTGATTGCCAATTCATATACTACCATCCAGCCATCTCCGGCTACATATACCCCTGCTGCCACTTCATCATCAACTAATGCATTCTTGAATTGGATCAATGGATTCTTTTCATCAACCAAAACGGCCTCCTCACAAGCCACTGCGGCAACGATTACTCCCTCTGCCCCAGCTCCTACCACCACCAGCAACTGGTTCGATGGACTATTTACTCAGGAAGTCACCACGTATGTCACGATAACAACCACTGTTGCCCCCTCCATATTCAAAAGAGATATTATTGTGGACTCAGAAGCCACCAACTTTCAACCGGGATACCTCATTGTTGTCACATTTATTTCTATACTCTTTATTATCTAATTGTATAAATTCATTGCCTCATTCCAATCAGGGAAAATAGACGATAAATCGATATTGTGCATGGCATTCAATGGATCATCCTCCTTTGTAGTCTCCTCCGTTAGCACATGCAGAATTTGCATTGTATTTTCAATGTTTCCATAATCGCTGATACTATGCCGTATTTCATCGGCTTGCAAATCAGCCATTTCCGAAAACATCTCCTGCAACTTGTGCAAAGTTTCAATCCAGTTTTTGCCCAAGCCCCATGATTGTCGCCAACTATTCAACTCGGTTAAACAGTCCTTTGCCAATGCTTTGAACCTTTGTGTTGGCTGGTTTGGGAAATGTTGTTTTAATACTTTGGCTGGGTAGGCCGCAATGTACAAGCTGGTTGCGCCAGCGGTAAACACTTGGAATCCAGTAAAGGGAGCTATAACCATCAAATTCATTGGCTTTAGTCTTTTTGTAATCAGGTCTAACTTATCCAAAGTATCAAATAGTTGAGCAGTGAGGGCATTCCACCAACCTGGTGGTCCAATATCTGGCAGGGCATAAAAGTACTCCCGGTTTAAGAAAATCCTGCAAAGGAAAAATAGTCCATGGAAATAGGCAAAGTCTGCTGCTGATCCATAACTGATGTGCTCCTCGAGATGTGAAAAGTGGAGTGCCGCCGGTAGTTGTTCTTCAAAATGGTCTAATCTTTTTGACAATTTATAAAATGGAGACTGCAGGTCCCAAGGCGCCAACGGCTCCAGCTTTGAACCAGTTACACCAACCCATGTTCCTATCTCCCTCCAAATTTCAAACAAATAAATCATGAATCCGTTGCAAGAAATCTTTGTCCTGTCAGTTTCCAACTTGTCAATATCGTTTCGAAAGTATTGAGTCTGGAGCTCGCCAAATATAAAGTTCCTCTCGTGGTCTGGAAGTCTCACGTGAATATCAAATAAGCTGATACAAGAATGTCCCTTCCGTCCACTTGAATTGCATCTGTCCATCATATACACCCCCCAAATGGCTCTTCTCCTCACCTCATTTTCCAATGGGTTCGTTCCTATTGGTTCCTGGTTTAGCCCTAGAATCATAGCCATCCTTGCTGCCAAACCAACGTACATGTAGCTTCTAGACGCATTACCCTCGCCCCATTCGTGACTACTGAGTACGCACAATGCCTGCACGTTTGCAAGAGTGGGATTATCGAATTCCTCCAGTACCAACCTTCGTGCATGCCACCCAAACTCAAGCGAGGCATTGAGTGCGTCTGGAAGTGCCTTGTGCAACCGAGCACAAAGTGCCAAAATTGCAAGTAGAACCACGGGGTTTGGTTGCAATGGGGTAGTAAATGGCGGCAGTTCAATGAATGTTGTTGGCTCGAATTCCTCTGATCGGAGAAATGACATGAACGTGGGTTTGTGAAATATTGGAAAGATTCCCTTGTACTGGTTGTCAAAGAATATCTGGACTGTCTCGATAATGAGTTCCTTATCGGGAAGGACAACTGGGTTACGCTTTGGTTTCGGTGCTAAGCTCTTTTTCTTCATTTGCGAAGCTTTCAACGTATATGTACAGTTTAGATTCAACTCTGTACATCGTTGACATGTGGTGCGGTTGTTGTTGATACATCGTAGTTTGCTTTGGCGACACCGGTTGCATGCAACGTTTGCCCTGGGCTTCTTGAGTGAGCTCATTGTCGATGGTGTTGTTGAGCCACAGTTTTTGTTTTTTTGTTTTGTTTTTTATTTTTTTTTTGAAAAATTCGTGAACTGAAGTTTACTATGCGCCGCATGTGTCTTGAACTGAAAACAAAGACTCCTCTCATCGAAAATTTCTCGACTGAAAATTGATCCTTTGTATGTTCAATGTCAACCACATCAGTAACCACAGATCAACAAGTGACCTTTCAGTATTGTAATGAAGCTGTTTTGGAGCTACATTGCTCGCCGTTTGGACTTAGTGGTATTTATATCAGGATCGCCGAAGCATCCATCATGGGTATTGGGTCCACTCTAGGACTGATTACTGGAAGCACACGCGGGTTGATCCATTACAACAATGCCAGTGATCTACAGGATCAAAAGTATAAACTTTATGTTATCCTAGACGAGGAGGGGATGTTGCGTATCGACTTTACCAAAATTACAATTGAGGAGAACAATACTGAAAATGGAAGCAAAAGCGGTGATGAGGAACAGTTGCCTGACTTGATTTTCAAAGGGCCGTGTCCGGAGGGAAGGCCCGATAACGTGGAACCATTTATAGGGATATTCAGCTTTGAAAGGGAGTAGAGTGGTCCGCACAAGAGAGAGAAGGGGGACAAGGAAGGACAGAAAAAGGTGTGCAGTATAGAGGATGGGGGAGGGGGGGTGTGTGGCGCTTAGTGTCCCCCATGTACGGAATGATGTCCCGATGATGTGAAACCTTTGAAAGTTTGAGTATAATCTGTTGTACGCGATATAAGAAGTGCGGGGGGGGGGGGTAGTTGCGTGTTGTAAGAAGAAAAGTTGCAATACCTTCGTTTAGAGTTGTATTCCGATAAGGTGGAACCGTTGCAAGATCTAGTTGCGGTTGATTCTCTTTTCGGGTGCAATTCCGTGTATGCAGGAAAAAAAAAAAAAGTTACATTCAACCTCGGTATAGAATTTTAGCGGATATAATCCCAATTTCACACAAACTCGATTACAATCTTGTAGTTTTGCTCCACTCGCTTCACAGCTGCTCTATTCAACTTGTGAGATCTCGTAGGGTAAGATCTCGTAGGAAATGTCTTCCGATTGCAGTTAAGCCCAAACACTCTGTAAGTGTTTCATGTGGGGTTTGATAATTTTTTTGAATAACCGATGAAGTAAAAAGCGGACGGCGCGGGGGGTGGCAAAAGAAAAAAAATAAATAAATAATCGTTGTCTATTTTTCACAAGCGCACGCACTCTGTCATTTCTCCATTTTTTTTTTCTTTTTTTTTTTTTTTCTCTCTCTCTCACTTCCCCATATATTATGTCAGAGAATTTCCACTAGAGACTCCACTTTTTCTTTTCTAAACCTCAACATATTCCAAACTATTCACAATGAACTCAACTAACAACTTAGGCGCTCAAATTAAAGACCATACCAAGAAAGATGTTTTGGAAAAACACCCAGATGACGTTGTCATTGTTGCTGCTTACAGAACCGCAATCACCAAGGGTTTCAAAGGTTCATTCAGATCAGTTGGTACTGACTACATTTTGGCCAATTTCGTGAAGGAGTTCCTCGCCAAGACCAAGGTTGATCCAAAGTTGATTGAGGATGTTGCTATGGGTAATGTCTTGAACAATGGTATCGGTGCTATGGAGCACCGTGCTGCTTCTTTGGCAGGAGGTATCCCATACACAAGTGGTTTCGTTGCCATCAACAGGTTTTGTTCGTCTGGTTTGATGGCTATCTCAGATATTGCCAACAAGATTGCCGTGGGTGAGATTGATTGTGGTGTTGCCGGAGGTGTTGAGTCGATGAGTAAATACTACAAAAAGATGATTCCACAAATTGATCCACATTTGGCTGACGAAGAGCAAGTTGCTTCTTGTTTGATTCCTATGGGTATTACTAATGAAAATGTTGCCAACAAATACAGCGTTTCAAGAGAAGCACAAGATGCATTTGCTGCTAGATCGTACAACAAGGCAGAAAAGGCTATTGCAGCTGGTAAGTTCAAGGAGGAAATCTTGCCAATCAAGTCAATCATCCGTGATGGTGATTCCGAAAAGGAAGTTACAGTTGACACTGACGAAGGTCCAAGAAAGGGCGTTAACCCTGAAGGGTTGGCCAAGGTTAAACCAGCCTTTGGTGGAAGTACCACCGCTGGTAACGCTTCGCAAATCTCGGATGGTGCTGCTGCTGTTTTGTTGATGAGACGTTCTGTTGCTGAACAGCACGGGTACCCAATCCTTGCCAAGTTTGTTGTTTGCAGTGTTGCTGGTGTACCCCCAGAGATTATGGGTGTAGGTCCAGCTTATGCTATCCCAGTTGCATTGGAAAAAGCTGGTCTCAAGATTGACGACGTTGATGTTTGGGAAATTAATGAAGCTTTTGCTGGTCAATGCTTGTACTGTATTGAAACACTTGGAATTGACGAATCAAAGGTTAACTTGAACGGTGGTGCCATTGCCTTGGGACATCCATTGGGTGTCACTGGTGCCAGACAATACGCCACCATCATGCCTTTGTTGAAAAAGGGACAAATCGGTGTCACCAGTATGTGTATAGGTACCGGTATGGGAGCTGCTTCGGTTATTGTCAGAGAATAAATAGTTGTGTAGTTGGATATAAATGACCAGATTTTTGCACAGATTTTTCATCTCTTGCCTAATATGTCAATGTATAACACCATGGTGCAAAGCGCCATTAAACTTATACTTTTCATTTCGCGTTTGGAACAGAACACACACTTTGGATATCGATAATACTTCTCGGGGTACACTCCTTGCACTTTTAAGCCCTAGGTTGTAATCTGGACATGAGATGGGAAAGTTTCGGGCAGCTTTGTCCTTTTCTATTATTGTGCAAACTTCACTACGTTTCGCAACACTTCCGAACTCATATAGAAATATAAAGTAAACAAGTCTTGCTGCTCAGTTGCATGTACTTTCTACATACTATTGCTTACAAACATTTCGAGTCTAAAGTGCCTTTTTTGGAGGTAATTGAAATGTATGGCGTTGCTAGCATTATTATGGGAGCAATTACGTAATACTTGCAAATTCGTTTCTTTTGTCATATCAAAAAATTGCCAACTCTACTCTGCAAACAACGACAAGCGGATTCCCTCGTCATGCCAAGCGCAATAAGTCGCCGTTGGGGCGCTAGGAGGGAACCTGTCAGAGCATTTGGTCCAATGCAAGGAGCTGGAGTTGACAATACCAGCCATGGCTTGAATGTTGCCCCAAACGCGATGTCATTAATTACGTGGCCCGTCCAATATCTGGCTATAGTCAACAATGAGAGCTCAAATACTTGCCAAAGCTTAGTCATGCCCTTTGAGCTTTTTCATTCCAATGAGGATATCGAGATAGTGACAATCTTCCTGGACATGACATACTAAGACGAGCATTCGAGAGAGGTATAGAAATTGGGTTCGACAATTCCATCACTGGGACATTAGAACCAATTATATGTTGGACAGAGGACCACAAACGGATGTTATATTTCCGCCTTTTCGGTGAATATTTTGCGCACGGTTAACCGTTTTCTTTTTTTTTTTTTTTTGACAGAAGCACAAAAAAATTTAATGCCGCGGTGCATAAGTATGTTTAGGTGAGAAGAAAATCTGGAACTGTCGACATATTTGTAATGGGCATAAGCGAATCATTCAAGATGAGAAGACGAAATATCTTATTCGTATACTGGATGGTCTTCTTTTTTCTATAGGGTAATGAAACATATAACAGTACATTTGAAGTTTAAAACTTTGATCAAAAACTGCGGCTAATTGTGCAAATTCTCCACGCTACCGCAGTTTTCGAGGCAACTTTTGCAGTTTTTTTGTTTCATACGGGAAACCCCCCCTTCCCCAGAGAACAAAAAAATATGCAGTATATAGCTCAAAGAAAAGTTGCCTTTACGTTTTGATTGAAAGGATGGTTATGAGAATGGATACAGAATTCAACACGCGACAATACAGTTCTACACTTTTGAAGTTTTAGACTTTGGAAGATACTCGATGCATAGCGTTTAGAAGAAACCGTTGAAGAGAAAAGTCTCGCCCGATCTTAGGACAGTGTGTCATAAAATTTCTGGTTGTATTCTCCAAATTTTTCCGTTCACCTCTTGCTATAGCCTATTTTTTTCCGGAAAATGTGAAATACTAAATCTGCGGAAAGCATATTAGAAACGACCGCGCTTCTTATCTTATCCACAGTTTCGGAAGCTGAGAATAAACGGCATTTGAGAGAGTGAATTTGGCTACACAAAAATGCAACATCTCAATCCCGCAGATGTAGAATATCTGCGAAAATATACATTTCGAAAGAAAAAAAAAACTAGATGGTGTTCAAGATCTGCAGAACTATAAACTAACCGAATAGCTGCGGTCCACCTGAGCAGGAACATGAAGTCAAAAGTACTGAGTTTCAAATGCTAGTCTTCTTGCGACGTCTCCCAGAAGCTTCGAAGAAGCAGACTGCTCTCGGAGCTGATTTTCGCCAAACAACAATGGGACGGCACCAAATATCACTAAATTTTACACAAGTACAATAGCAAAATGCTGAGCTGCCTGAACTATAAATATGGAAAGATTTTCGCCTTCATTTCACCTTTCAGTTTTAGCAAGTCAAAGATGAAATTCAGTTCAATATTGACATTAAGCTTCAACGCTTTGCTGGTTTTCGCTTTGCCTCACAAAGGAAGTGGTTCGAACGATGCAAAAGAGTATTTGGTGACAAGCTTACCAGGATGGGACAAATTACCAAGTAACTACAGCAAACCAATTATGCATGCTGGCCAGTTGGACATTTTCCCTGAGAACAACACGCACTATTTCTTCTGGAAGGTTGCAGATTCGGTAAAGTCTGAAGAAAACAAGAATAGAACCACTTTTTGGCTTAATGGGGGTCCCGGATGCTCATCCGTTGATGGTGTTTTGTTAGAAAATGGGCCATTCAGAATAAACAAGGAAGAGGAAATTGTTGTCAACAATGGATCTTGGCATAAAGTGACCGACATGGTTTATGTTGATCAGCCCTCAAGAGTCGGCTTCAGTTACGGTCCTCTCATATCTCAACTTGATCAAGTGCAAACAAATTTTTTGGCATTTTTGGACAAGTACTTTGAGTTGTTTCCCGAGGATTCAAGCAATGATATTTACATTTCTGGTGAATCATATGGTGGCCAGTATATTCCATACATTGCTACTGCAATTCTTGAACGCACTGACTACAAATTGAAAGGGTTGTTAATTGGGAATGGTTGGGTTTCACCAAACGAACAAAGCTTGTCTTACATCCCCTTCTTCAAAGAGCATGGCCTAATTGACGACCACAATCCGTCTTGGCCACTGTTGTATGCTGCTCAGGCAGCATGTGAAGCTGTTGTCAATGGGAGTGCTCCAGATGGCGGTAACGAGAACGATGCGCCTGCTTGTGATAGCATTTTAAACACCCTTCTTCAAGCCACAACCCAAAAAACACCCCTGGGAGATCAGTGTCTCAATGTATACGACTACAAGTTGCGTGATTCAGATTGTGGCAACAGTTACCCGCAACCGGATGAGAGTTATGTGACCAGATTTTTGAGAGATCCAAAAGTGATTGAGAGTTTGAATATTCAACATAAAACTCAATGGCAAGAATGTAGCTCTTTGGTGTCCAGAACTTTCACAGCATCAAAGTCTGCGCCTGCAAAATCACTTTTGCCGGCACTTCTTAAACAGATTCCTATCGTTTTGTACAGCGGAGCACTAGACATCACGTGCAATTCACAGGGAGCCTTGGGATACATTTCGAACATGACTTGGAATGGAGCACAGGGGTTCACAAATCCAGATAATCACATTGATTGGGAGTTTGGCGACGAACAGGCTGGCTGGGTTCTACAAGATAGAAATTTGACATTTGTTAATGTCTACAATGCCAGTCACATCCTTCCATACAATGTTCCAGAGATTTCCAGGTCGTTGTTTCAATTTGTAACTGGAACAGACCAAAAGAGAGACGGCAAGATAGTCACTACTCCGTAGAGATAGTTTTTGTATATTTTCTGTTATCGCAGTTTGAAATGCAAGGTTCTTTGTTTAAAAAAGCCACTCTAGTCTCTGACTTAGAGCCCTTAACAGGCTTCAAGAAATGTAGTTACAAGCTGACAAGAGTCATGGCTGTATTTAGCTTACTCTAGCATTTCTTGATTGGTGACTCGACACAGTTCTGATTATATGGTAAGAGATGCATAATAAAAGCGGGGGAGGTACAAAGACGTCGGATGTGTATTCCGACGGGAGCCCCCTCACCAATGAGTCGGCAGATTGACCCGTTCATCAAGAAAAGATCTTGAAATCCTTTATATACTTTCAGTCACCCTCTTTCTCTGATCTTTAATTATTTTTTTTTCACGCTAAGCACCTCGGAAAATGTCTTATACTGGTTCTTGTCTTTGTGGTGAAGTTTCGTTGAAGCTTATTGGTGAACCATCCCGCTCCTTTGTTTGTTACTGTGTCGATTGCCGTAAAGGTTCTGGTCACTTGGGTCAGTTCATTAGCCAATATGCTACTGACAAGGTAGCAGTTTTTGATAAGAACGGTACTGTTGCTGAATATGTTGTTGAACAAACCAAAAGTGGTCATCCAAAGAGAAAGCAATTTTGTAAACGCTGTGGGTGCACCATTCGCACGTTGCCAATGAAATTCAATGGGGAAGTCAGTATGGTTAGACAATCGTTGGTAGATGAGAACTTTGCAAAGTTGGCTCCGCAGTTGGCCATGTTTGAGGAGGAAAAGAGTAGGTATACGGAAGGGGCCAAATCTGAATATTTGTAGCTGTTGTATGAAATGCATTATACTTGAAGGAAGGCGAAAAGCTTCGTCAGGAACTAGATATACAAATAATACACTTTCACTGTAGTCGCCTTTATTCTCTGTGTACTTA